ATGAGAATTGCAACCAAAAAAATAGCTGGGCATTGTAGTAGGCGCCTGTAGTCCCAGCTACTTGGGAGGCTGAGACAAGAAAATCGCTTAAACTCAAGAGTTTGAGGTTGCTATGAGCTGTGACACCACGGCATTCCACAGAGGGTGACATAGTGAGCCTCTGTCTCAAAAAAAAAAAAAGAAGACTAAAGAGATTTAGATAGCATATGTCAACAGTGTGAAATAAATTCTAAAATTGTTTTGATCTTGAGCTGTATTAGTATAAAGATGGAACAAGGGAAGCAAGAATTTGCTTTATTCTGCGCTAATCATTATGGAATTCAGATCTGGGGACATAGGCAAACTGGAACACATTCAGAGAAAAGCAGCCAGGATAGTGAAAGATTTTGGATATGGAGAGTGGCTGAAGAAACAAGATGTATGGGTTAGACAAAAGAAAACTTGATGAATATGGTAGTTACAGTAGTTAGGATGTTTCAGTTACAAGTGAAAGAAAAACCAACTCAAACTGTTTTTAATAATAAAAGTAATTTATGGGCTCATAGAACTCAAATTTGAGAGGCGGGTGTTGTGTTTTAGGTAAGGCTCAATTCAGTGGCCTGGTTAATTTTTCTCTCAGCTTTCTACAGTGTTGGCCAAAACTGACTGATATCTTCTGATCTGACAGCAATAATCAGGGTTATGTGCTGCTTTTTTCATGTCAACTGAGGGTCAGAAAAACCTTCTTCCCTCACCACATCACTAGGTATATCTTATATCTTCATTGGCCGGAGTTGTGACACATGCCAGTCTCTAAACAGATTATAGTGACCATGAGAAGGATATATGCAAAGTAGCTTAGCCAATCAAAAATCTGTCGTCTTGAGTTTTACAGCTCATTGGTCTGATTTTCATTTACAAATCATTTCCTCTGTTGGAATTTGATAAAATAACCAATGACCTATGAAGTTTGCTTTAAAAATATCTGTCCAGATTCTCCACAGAACAGAACTAATAGGAGACAGATATATACATACACAAATACAATATATACACTGTGTTATATATAAGCGTATATGATGTATATGTATATATCTGTATGTTTAGTGTATGTACAGAAATTTATTTCAGAAAATCTCACATGATTATGTAGTTTGACATGTGAAATTTGTCAGGGAAGACAATAGTCTGGAAACCCTGGTAGAAACTGATGTTGTAGTCTGAAGGCAGAATTTCTTCCTCTGGGAAGCATTATTTTTTGCTTGTAAGTCCTTTCTTGAAGGTAATAAGTAGCCTTTACTTAAAATCAACTGATTGTAGATATTAACCGCATCTACAGAATACCATCATAGCAACACCTAAATTAGTGTTTGGTTAAATAACTAGATACCATAAGCTAGCTGAGATGAAATATAAATTATCATGGATATGATAAATCTTTCCCAAAATACATGGCTGAAATTTTGGAACAGGGAGATTACAAACCAAGAGAAAGCCAAAAAATGTCCCTTATATTGGCTGAGAGTGCATATGTGCAAAGGCTGCTCTGGGGAATAGGTTTTCAAGTTGTTTTATATAGAGTAATACTAGGACAAAAGTTATAGAAATAGTGATAAAACAGCTATCAACTAAAAAGAACTGTCTAGCAAAATAGTAGTGAATTCTTATTACTGAGAATGTTCAAACATGACCTAGATGACTGTGGTATAAAACCTCACATTAAGTCCCAATGTCATGTATTCTTGACATTTGTGGAAGACAGCGTTATGCTCAAGTTGAGTTCAGTGTACAATAGGCATAATTTTATTTTACCTTTATTTTTATTTTTTTATTTTATTTTTTTCCAGGAATACTTTCTTGAGTGTATTTTACTCTTATATGGGGGGACCATAAAGTTTATGACTACCCTGAACTAATATTGAATAGTAGCTGAGATATATCCACCAAGATTCTAAAGAGTAAAACAACTGGTAGGAGATAGATATATGTGTATTTTATATATGGCATATAATTTTAATATATATTTATAAAGAAATTAATTTTTTCTCAAATTGCTTAACTACAAGTTCTCCTCCCCACTATGTTCGTGCAGGTAAGCTTCCCTAATCAAACTACCTTCTTTATCAAAAGGATCAGGGCAATTTCTTCTCATGCCTAATAAGCAAGTTCAGTACCCTGCCAATCCAAGGAGTTAGCCAAACAAACCGATCACATTTTTACTTGAAAAACAAAAGGCACCCAACCTCTTCATACTGTAGGACCTGCTTTCCACAAGCCCTGCTTGTCCGTTGTGTCTCTGGATTCAACCCTCATGTGGCCCTCCTTGGCATGTGGAATCTCCTTCTCCTGGGCTGTGAGGGGAATACATGTGATTAATAAACTTTCTCACCTGTCCAGTGTTGAGTGTCCTGTGCCTGACCTTCTCCATAACCTTAGAATGAAATCACACACTCACTGATGGGATGAATAGGAAGTAATTAAAACAATGACTATCCTCCCTGCCCCTCCCTTATCCCCGCCGGTAAAGTTGAATGGCAGAAAGATTTAAAAACCAGTTAAATATCTTTGTTATAAAGTGATTTTTGGTCTTTTGGATATACACCTAGTAGAGGAATTGCAGGATCAAACGGCAGGTCTACTTTTAGATCCCTGAGTGTTCTCCATATTTCTTTCCAAAAGGGATTTATTAGCTTGCACTCCCACCAGCAGTGTGGAAGTGTTTCTTTTTCTCCACTTCCACATCAACATCTGTAGTTGTGGGATTTTATTATGTGAGCCAATCTTACAGGAGTTAGATGATATCTCAAAGTGGTTTTGATTTGCATTGTTCATTGCAATTCAGTTCATAATAGCCAAGTCATGGAAGAAGCCCAAGTGCCCATCAACCCATGAATGGATTAATATATTATGGTATGTGTATACCATGGAATATTATGCAGCCTAAAAAAAGACGGAGACTTTACCTCTTTTACATTTACATGGATGGAGCTGAACATATCCTTCTTAGTAAAGTATCTCAAGAATGGAAGAAAAAATATCCCATGTACTCAGTACATTATGAAACCAATTTACAGTCACTCACACTTTCATATGAAGAATAGATCGCAACTATGGCCCAAGATGAAGGAGGGATGGGGGTAATGGGAAGAGAGGGGGGAGGTCAGATAGAGGGAGGGTGAATGGTGGGATCACACCAGTGGTGCATAATGCAAGGGTACATGTCAGATCTATTAGTATAGAGTATAAAAGTCTTAACACAGTAACTAAGTAAACAAGATGAGGTATATATTAACCAGTGTGATGTAAGCATTCCTAATTCTATATGAAATCAGCACCTTATACCCTATAAATACATTAATGTATACATGATCTGTGTTTGTGATTTAATTAAAAAAGTTATTTAAAACAAAAATAATTAAAACAAGTTAAATAATTGTAATAAATGACTTGTGAGTTGCCTTTCAATACCAAGATTTTCTTGGTTCAGTGTTTCCGGTGCTAGTATTAACCTTATTTTCCAAATTGTAGTAGAACAATTTATGTCTGTTATGAGCACTCACCAGATTATATTGTGAACTATTTATTTATACATCTCTTTCTCCCACCTCAAAGCACAGAAAGCCATAATTTATTAATCTTTGTATACCTTCTGAATAGCATAATGCCTGACACATAGCAGATATTCAATAAATATTTGTGGAGTGAATCTGAAAATCACTTTCTCTGTCCAAATTTGATTAAACAAATAACCAAGAGGTGTGAAGTTCAGCTTAAATGGTGTAACATATAAATAAGTGTCATAAGTGTAAATTTCCTAACACTATTAAAATGCAAACTCATTCTACCCACCCTTAGAGAGGATGAGGTATTGAGAGTGCTGCCCGATTTTTCTTTTCTCATTCCCCTTCCAAAATGCATACCAATTACCCTAGGGCTTCTAAAGAACTCTGAAGGCAGCATCGCACTTTGTGTAGGAAGGAGAATTAGAATAACTATAAGGTGATCCCAACTCTTTGCCCGTCTGTTGATTCTGAGTGCTCCATTCTCTTTAGAATCCCCGCTAAAAGCTAAAACACTGCTTTCTGCAAGAAGGCATTTATTTCAGTCATCATTTCATTCTTCAAGTGTGTAGCTGCATAAAACATGGAGAAAGCTAACGTGGGTAGCTTGAACATACCTCTTTTTTCTGTGATTTCAATTATTACTTATTATATTTAAATTGACTTGTTATAAGTTATTCTTTTGGTAGAATGGCATGTACTTTTTCTTACCTGTTGATTTAAGAATTTCTTTAATGAAAAAATGGAAGAAGCCCTAACACGGTGGATCACACCTGTAATCCTAATACACTGGGAGGCCAAAATGGGAGGATAGCTTGAGCTCAACAGTTCAAGACCAGCCTGAGTAAGAGCAAAACCCTGTCCCTGCCAAAAATAGAACAATTAGCATGTTGATGCCTGTAGTCTCAGCTACTCAGGAAGCTGAGGCAGGAGAATCGCTTGAATCCAGGAGTTTGAGGTTGCTATGAGTTAGGCTGACAACAGGGCACTCTCCCCTGGTGACAGAATGAGACTCTTGTCTCAAAAAAAAAGGAGGGGGAGGATGCAAGACTTGGTTGGACAAAGCAATTTTTCTAATTCATGAATGTAAATATATCACTTCACAAAGGTACATAATTGTGTCTTTGACAATAATAAAATTATATTAAGGCAGCTCTAGTGTTTGATCCCAAAGACATATGGCTTCCACATCCAAATGTCTTTATATAGTACTAACCATGTGGTTGACACTCAGTAAATATGTATTGGTTAAATCATCTAATAGTAGAATGTGCTCCCTTCCGTTGATCATAGACTTTAAGAAAGACTTAAACGGGCAGCACCTGTGGCCCAAAGGAGTAGGGCGCTGGCCCCATATACCGGAGGTGATGGGTTCAAACCCAGTCTCGGCCAAAAAACTGCAAAAAGAAAGAAAGAAAGACTTTAACAAAATGTTTTCTCTATTTCCTGGTTTATTCACAGAAAACAGATCAGAGCTCTGCTGGGACAGTTCAGCCAAGCAGAAGCCTTATTGATGAAAGCTGGCATGCAGCCAGGATCTTTTGATGGAGTTCTTTTGGATCTTGGGTGTTCCTCCATGCAACTTGATACTCCTGAAAGAGGTTTTTCCCTTCGGAAGGATGGCCCCTTGGACATGAGGATGGATGGTGGCAGGTGAGTATTGACAAAACATTTCTCCTCACAAGAAATCAATTTTTCAAAAACACTTTGAATTTAATTTTCTTCTAAGACTGCATAAATCCCATTACATGCCCACACCTGATGCTCCCCATACATGTACACTATCAGGGCCCAGCTTAACAAGGTTCTGGATGCGGACTGCTAAGCTACCTTGCTCAGGAACAATTTCTCTTAGGTGCCTGAGGGCTATCTACTTTAGCAGGAGAGAGAGAGAGAGTCTTAGAGTAAAGCAGTCTTCTTAGAAAGATAGATCTTAGTCTTTAGCAGAGCTTAGTGATCTTCAGCAGAGAGACACTGTGCTGGTATTCTGCAGGCTGGAGAGGAGACAGAGTCAGAGTAAGCAGGTGCGTGATAGAATGTGCATGCTCCCGAATGCCTTCTCCTCCAGCCTAATATAAGGCTGATCTCGTGCCTCTCAACACCAAAGGTGTAGAGACTGCCAATTCACCACTGCTCTCATCTCACGAGCTCTCATGCTTGTTAGTAGCGCTAAATCCCTCTCCATGCCCTTTTCACCAAGATGTTCCATTATTGAGCTA